GAAGTGGCTGGGGAGAGGGAGGTCTGGGCCTCCCTTCTGAAGCTGCTGCCCCCGCGACCCGACCCGGATAGGCGGAAGAAAATGGATGGATGGATGGAATATAGGTGAAATTTTCAAGGTGAAAAAAAACAACAAAAAAATACCTAAATTACCTCAAAACTAAATTACCTGTGGTAAATTTGTCTCCTTCATTTAATAAAATCAGCCTTTGTCTTTTATCACTTGTAATTTTTGTTCTATAGGCTACTAGTATGAATATGTGTCTTATATTATATTTCATATTTTATATTATATATATTTCAATAACAGATGGAAATCCCTCTGATGATCCATTGTCTCACAGTGGGATCATTTCTACTTTTACTTTTGAAAAGGTTTATGTCACAAGGTTCATTTTGTTACTTAGTTTGCCTGTTTTTTTTTCTTCATCAAAAAACAGCCTGCAGAGAAAAGTTCAGGTATAAAAAAGGAGCAGATATTTTTTTTGGCGTCGTCAGCTGATCTTCAGACTAGAGGTTAAGAAACAGTTTTTCCTTAAGTTTCCTTCATTCACATGATCATGGTTATTGAGTTAAAATATTTAACAACTAATATGAAGGTTTTTTTTAACTAACATTTATATAATATTCACGCACTGGCAGTTAGAAATGGTGTTTTTAATCAGCTGATTTCAGGTTTTTGCTCTTGATGCCAGCCTACATTTCAGCTTTGCTGTTTGCCGGCAGATGAAACTAAATTGATGCCCTGTTAAATTCACTATTGTTCGTTTTTTCCCCATTTCTATTTATTGTTTAAAAACCTGCAACTTTCAGCTCTTCCTTTGGTTCCTCTTGAGAAAGGGTTTTGTTACCTGCTGCCCGATTAACTCCAGATATGTAACGCCACATTAAAGTTGGTGTTTTTATTTTCTCCTTCTGATAATCGGACGTTTACCTGTATAATGAGCCTCATAATCTACTCGCGCACGGGGGTGGGGGTGCAGGTGGACCACACAGATGACAGCACGCAGGAAAGGAGGAGGGGGGAACATTTCTAGCTGCAGAGCGGGTTGGAAGATGATTGTTTGATGTTATTATGACCCCCGCACGTGAAGCGTAAGCGGGAATCATGTTGTTTCTTTTTTTTTTTTTTTTTTTTTTTTTTTT